CGGGCCCTCCTCGCAGAGGTCTTGTGAAGATATCTCTGGAAAAAAAGACAGCATCGGAGAAGGTTCCCTGGAGAAACCTCGTGTCCCTTCAGCCGGGAGCTTGCTCCTGCAGCTTTTCTTCTGTGTTACCCCGCTTTACTTCTGAGCAGCGTTGTTGTTAAGGTCGCCCTCGACAGAGACTGCGGTGTGTATAGACGCGTCCGTTTTCCTGCCCAGGAACATGGACTCTGCCTGGTGATGGTCCCCCCGGAGCACCTCCAACACCTGGCTGTCCCTGGCACGCTCCTCCAGTGGGGGCAGCGCCGCCTGTGGGTCAGCACCTGAGGTTGGTCATGGAGGCCCAAGACGAGCACACATCCTGGCTGTGACTGTGGTTCAAACGGTTCTGTGACCCGGTCGTGACCAGGAGTTGTAACCAGCAACTCCTGGGACTAGGACCGGGAGCTGGACCTGGCAGTGTGGGCGGGGCTGGGGCAGCCTCATCGTGCAGCTGAGGAGAGCCAGCTCGAGGGTGGGGAGCACACAGGGGAGAGAGCTGACGGGGAGCAGGTGAGCCCAGCCACACTGCCCGGAAGGCACCGTCCCCTTGACCTTTCTGACCGTGGGAACCGTCCACTTGTTCTCCAGCCCTGAGTTCTGGCTCCCTGCAGGGTGGTGTTTCCCCCTCGCCCGGCGTCCCACAGTGCAGAGGCCGCCCAGGCTGCATTTGCTGAGTCAGTTCTCCTGGAGTTGACCAGGCAGTTAGCACACAGCAGAGGGGAGCAAGGCTGCGTTGCCCAGTGCTGCAGCCACAAGAGGCAATCCAGGTTCAAGTTTGAGTTCATGCAGACTAAGATGGAACTTCCTTCCTGAGAGACTACCCACGTTTCAAGTGCTCAGCAGCCACACGAGCTGTGGCAGGGACAGAGGGTGGCTGCACAGCCATCTTGGCCAGCCAGGGCCTGATTCAAGCTCAGGACTTCCCTCTGTACCGTGCAGCCCCTGGGTTCATTTTCCCATCAGATTACTCTCCATCCAGGGGGAACCATGTGTGGGGATTCACAGAAATCATTAATTCATTCTTCAGAAGTTGAATGGATCCGTACTTTGCCCAAGACGCACAGTAGAAAGCTGAGTAAGATGAAGCCCCTGCCCTAGACTTCAATCCAGCAGGGACTCGGTCATTTAAAGCGATGATTTCTGTGCTGTGGGAACACGAGGGCAAGAGCCCTGTCTGTGCCGGGGACAGGCAGACGGGTCAGGAAGTGTCCTGTTGCTGGGTGCATGGAGCTTCTGACGGTGCGATTGGAGGGCCACGTGGGGTTTCTGTGTCTGTCCGACTCAGAGCGTGCGTGTGTGTGTGTGTGTGTGTGTGTGTGTACGGTGCCACTCTGAGTCAGCCATCTTTCGGAGTGTTGAAGCAGTGACACACCCAGCAAGGGGAGTGCAGCCAGTGTGTCCTGATGAGCCAGTGTCTGAGCAGGTGAGCGGTGAGGAGGACCACACTGTGCAGATGGAGCGTGAGGGCGGGCCACGCCAGCGTTTATCTGAGGCCGTCCAGTGTCCTTAGGGAAGCGTGTTATGTACAAGGATCTGAAAGCGAAGGGAGCAGTGATTGGCATCAGAAATGGCAGAGCTGGGGCTGGGAAACTGAAGTCAAAGTTGTTCTGGAGCTGGCCTCCGGTAGGGTCTGACTGCGACCCGACAAGTGTGTGCGGGGAGATGGGGCCTGAGGAGGGAGGTGAGGACCGGCCTACGTGCGTGGGCTGGCGCTGTTGTCTCGGGAGCAGGTGTGTTCAGACACGAACGTGTGCGCTGCTCCGGCGGTGCAGAAACGGACGAAGGCCCTGTGTCCAGAGGCAGCCTCGCCCTCGTGCTGGTGAAGAACTCCTCACTAAGAGCGGTCAGACCTCGTCCCTTCCCGTGCCCTGTGAGGACGGGCTTCCAGGGTCCCCTTCCGCAGCACACACTCAGGCTGTGTCTCAGCTCCCACGGGGAGGTGAGCAGGCCGAGAGGCAGGCACTGACTCTCTGAGCCGCACCTGCACTCTGCAGTGCTGAGGAGGAGGGTCCTGCTCCATGGCTGGGAGACGGCGGGGAAGCGTTAGCCCGTGTTGAAGCACCTAGAAACAAAGCATGGCAGCTGCAGACACTCGGGAGATCGTCTTGCCCGGGGTCCTCCTCTTCAGGATGGGGGTCTCAGTCTGAGGAGCAGCCCCAGATAACTCGGGGAGCCCTGGTTCTGAAGGCTTCTGTTGCTGACGAGAGGCCAGTGCCTCCAAGTGCCGCTGGCGAGCCCCTGCTGCCTCCGTCTGCACGCGGGGTCAGGACCTGCCCTCCCCCTTGTAAGGGCCCAGCTGTAAGAGGGGGGACAGGAGAGGCTCAGCAGGCAAAGCTGATGATGCTCTCAAGTTCTAGAAGCAGAGTAGGCATGACCTGCACCCAGGGCCATGCGGGGAAAGCCGCCAGGGTGGCCAGGAGACAGAGGGTTGGAGCAGGCGGGTTTAGCTCCAGGCCTCTGTTGGGGTTCTCCTTGGAATGTCAAGGTAAAGCAGGTTGGCTAGGCTGACGAAATCAGTGGCTTCCTTTTTTTTTTTTTTTTAAGATTTATTTTGTTCATTTGAAAGAGTTACAGAGACAGAGACACACAAAGATCTTCCACCTACTAGTTTACTCCCCAAATGGCTCCAAGGGCTGGGCCTGGCCCAAGGTGAAGCCAGGAGTCCTAGGCATTCAGGTCATCTTCTGCTTTCCGAGTCACAGTAGCAGGAGCTAGAGTGGAAACCAAGCAGCTGGAACTGGAGCCAGTGCTCCAGTATGGCACGCCAGCATCGCCATTGGTGGCTCAGCCTGCTACGCCATCATGCTGGCCCGGCCTTGGATTTTAGGGGCTTCTAGGCTACAGGTGTGGTTTCCAGTTGTCTGATGCCTGGCCATGGGGATGGGTAAGGCAGAACAGCACCACCTCCTGGGTGTTTAGGCCAGATAGAAGTGTGGCTCTGGACTGGTGAGTTTGGGTATCCAAGATGGCTGCAGGCTGGGCCTTTGCCGTCTCCAGGAACTGGCTGGCCTCCCCCGCCCTTTGGCAGTCTCTGCCCAACTAGAAAGAGTGGTTTTATTTTTTGTTTTTGTTTTTGTTTTTTTTTCTAGTTATACCTTAAATAAGGCTGGGTGGGATTTTTCCCCCATTCCATTGCTTTTATTTTTAATTTTTCCCTACAGAAGCTTTTAATTTAAGGAATACAAACTTCATGCATTTCATTAAAACTTTAGGAACATGGTGATTCTTCCCACAGCACCTACTCTCCTACTCCTCTTCCTCCTCCCTCTCCTATTTCCTTTCTTATTTTTTACTAAGATCTATTTTTAATTAACTTTATACATATTTGATTAACTCTATGTTAAGAGTTCAACAAATACTATGAAAAAAACCGTTCCTCAACAGTCAAAACAAGGGTTGTTCCAAGTCATTGCTTCTCAAAGTGTCAGTTTCACATCTATAGATTGCTTTTTTAGGTTCTCCGTTAGTTATCACAGGTCGTGGAGAACATACGGTGTTTGGCCTTTTGGGACTGGCTTGTTTCACTAAGTATGATGTTTTCTAGTTTGATCCATTTTGTTGCAAAGGACCGGATTTTGTGTGTGTGTGGTTTTTTTTTTTAGCACTATATAGTATTTCATGGTGTACATATCCCATAATTTCCTTATCCAGTCCTCAGTTGATGGGCATTTGGGTTGATTGCATGTCTTAGCTATTGTGAATTGAGCTGCAGTAACATGGGGGTACAGGTAACTCTTTCATACGCTGATTTCATTTCTTTTGGGTGAATTCCCAGGAGCGGGATGGCTGGGTCATATGGTAGGTCTGTATTCAGATTTCTGAGGTATCTCCATACTGTCTTCCACAGTGGCTGCACCAGTTTACATTCCTACCAACAGTGGATAAAGGTACCTTTTCCCCCACATCCTTGCCAGCATTTCTTGTTTGTTGATTTTTGTATGAAAGCCATTCTACCGGGGTAAGGTGAAACCTCATTGTGGTTTTGATCTGTATTTCCTGATGGTTAATGATCCTGAACATTTTTTCATGTGTCTGTTAGCCATTTGAATTTCCTCTTTTGAAAAATGCCTGTTTAAGTCCTTTGCCATTTCTTAACTGGGTTGTTTGTTTTGTTGTGGTGGAGTTTCTTGATCTCTTTATATATTCTGGTTATTAACTTTATCAGTTGCATAGTTGGGAGATAATTTCTCCCATTCTGTCAGTTGCCTCTTCACTTTGCTGAGTGTTTCTTTTGCAGTACAGAAGCTTCTCAATTTGACGTAATCCTATTTGTCAGGCTTTGACTGCCTTTGCCTCTGGGGTCTTTGCCAAGAACTCTTTGCTGGTGCTGATGTCTTGCATGGTTTCCCCAATGTTCTCTAATAATTTGATGGTATTGGGTCCTAGATTTAGGTCATTAATCCATTTTGCGTGGATTTTTGTGTAAGGTGTGAGGTAGGGGTCCTGCTTCCTGCTTCTGCATGTGGAGATCCAGTTTTCCCAGCACCATTTGTTGAGGAGACTGTCCTTGCTCCAGGGATTGATTTTAGCTCCTTTGTCAAAGATGAATTGGTTGTAGATGCTTGGGTTGATTCTTGGTGTTTCTATTCTGTTCCATTGGTCTATCCATCTGTTTTTGTACCCGTGCCAGGCTATTTTGATTGTAACTGCCCTGTAGTATGTCTTGACATCTGGTATAGTGTTGCCTCCAGCTTTGTTTTTGTTGTATAAGATTGCTTTAGCTATTCAGGTCTCCTGCATTTCCATGTGAATTTCAGCATCATTTTCCTTCTAGATCTGAAAGAATGTCCTTGGTATTTTGATTGGTATAGCATTGAGTCTGTTAATTGCTTTTGGTTTATATATCCAGGAATCTACCCATTTCCTCCAGGTTGAGAAAGGGCTTTATAGGTGGGCAGACAGCATGATATGCAGAACAGGAGCCCTGGCCCTTGCCTTACTCAGACTCCCCTATTTCCCAGGTCTGCTACATACCTGCTTCCACGGTCATGGGAGGTGGGAACTGCGGCCTCTCTTTCCTGCCCGTGTGGAGTGTTGCATGAAGTCCATGGCTCAGTGCAGAGGTCAGATGCTTTCCACGGCCTCCTGGACTCCAGCCTCATGAAGAAGCCCAAGCCAAGAGTGGGCTTTTCCTTGCCCTGGATGAGACGTCTCTCAGGGCCTCCCAGCCCACTGCTTCTCGTCCTCTCCTGTGCTCACCCTTCGTTCCGTGCACCACTCCTGAGTCGTTCAGGACCCACTGGAAGTGGGCACAGGTGACTGAGGACACCAGAGCAGCGCGTGCAATGGAAGGAAAGTTCATCCGCAGCCGCGGGCCAGCTACAATTTCCACACATCCTCTGGCTTCTCATATTTAACACTGCAGGCCACATGGGGTCTGTTGCTTGTTTCAGGGCTGGCCAGTTGGTCAGGGGGCAAAGCCACAAAGGAGTGTAGAGTAAGGCAGGTGCTGGGGCACAGTGCATTAATCTCCCACCTGCAGGGGCTGGTGCTGTGGCGTAGTAGGCTAAGCCTCTGCCTCTGGCACTAAATCCTCTATAGGCGCAGGGTTGTGTCTTGGCTGCTGCTCTTCCAATCCAGCTTTCTGCTTATGGCCTGGGAAAGCAGTGGAAGATGGGGCCGAAGTGTTTGGGCCCCTGTACCCTTGTGGGAGACCCGGAGGAAGCTCCTGGCTTCAGATCATCCCTGCTCTGGCTGTTGCTGCCATTTGGGGAGTGAACCAGTGGATGAAAGACTCCCTCCCTCCCTCCCTCCCTCTCTCTCTCTCTCTCTGCCTATCCTCTTTCTGTGCAACTCTTTCAAATAAATAAATCAATCTTTAAAAAAAAGAAAGAAGCCTGTAAGGAAGGAGTCCTAGGGAGGGACAGGGAGCCAAGGAGATGCAGGGGCCAGGCCTGCTGTGTGTCACTCAGACAGTCTGCTCCCTCGGGGGAGCTGACCAGAGTCCTCTTCCCAGAGCAGTACTCAGTGGTGACCTAACCACCTTGCACTGCTCCCGCCTCTTAAAGGGCCTCTCACCTGACCACGCCAGGATCAAGCCTGCGGCCCCAGAAACCTCAGCCGTATCCAAACCATTGCACCCCCTTACGTCAAATCCCAGCTCACTGCTAGCATCCTCCGGCAGGTGCAGAATCACCCGAGAATGCGCTCCATTACTGTCTAATGGAAATAACAAGCATGTTGGGTTATATCAGAATTAAATAAAATAATGTAATTAAAGCATTTGCCAAAGTTCCAGGCGTATCATGTGGCAAGCACTTGGTGACTGTCACGCCTGTTATCATCATATCATAACAACAACCACGGAACTCATTGGTCTCCTGTTAATGTGTTTCATGGTTCAGTAAGTTTAGTTGTTTTAATAACTAATAAAAATGATTGTCCATAAAAGAAAGTAATTTTTTATTAGATGACTCCCTGAAAAGCTAAATCATTTTTGTGTATGTGTGTGTGTTTGAAAGGATACCTCAGGAAAGTTCTAGAACTAAGTGGCAACTTGGCTCGCTGAAATGAGCCTGCAGCGCCTCCCTCTCCCCCGGGATGTTTGGCCGGAAACAGAAAGAAGGGGAGCTCACTGGGAAGTCTCGAGCCGGCTGTAATGGCCTCAGTGTGGCAGGGATCATGCCGGCTCTGTTCACGGCTCTGTTCACAGCTCTGCTCTTGGGAGCAGCGTCCGCAAGCTTGGTGCGTTCTCTGCGTCGTCTTCGCAGAGGGCAGTCACATTTAGCTCTGATTATGTTTGGGGCATCTGGATTCTAGTCAGCATGTTGGCTCCGTTGTAGACCCTAAAGTCTGCGGCTTACTCCTAATGTGGAAAATGGAATAATCCCCCAGGCGCAGGCAGCTGAACTCCAACACGCGGCTGCGTTACCCTAGTGAGAAGCTGCCACAGACATCACAAGACTTGTTATACAAGGAAACATGATTACAGTGGATTAGAGGAGCTTGCCAGGGGCATGAAGGATTTATTACTTTTTGAATTCTGGATGAGACATAAATATGTTTTTCCCCTTTTAATTTTGGACCCCATACGGCAAAGGTGAGAAAATTCCTCCGCAGATTCGAGAACGCTTAGTTGCCGAAGATCGGTTGGGTTTTGTGTCCAAGTCACACTGCAAAGGGCATGAATACTTGCCTGGCAGAGACACAAAACAGTCACTCACTTCTGTCGCCGCTGCCAAGTTAGTTACTGCCTCGTCTCCCAGTGGGAGAGAAATGTAGCTCCTTGGGGAGTCTTTTGGAAGGCAGCGTGGTGTAATGGAAAAAGCAGCGCACTCAGGCATGTGGCCCGGATCGCGGCTCCTGCGATTTGCGGCAGGCCGCTTAGCCTCGCTGAGCCGAGACACCGGGACGGGGTCCCCGTCTCAGAGGGTCGTGTGGGGGGCTGAAGCGTGCTAAATGTCGTGTTTGCGGGGTGCGTCTGCGTCAGACTCACAGATCTGAGTTCAGGGACGTCAGTTTTGCGGATGTTCTCAAAGGAGGAGCTTTTGAAGTCATTGTGAGCGCTCAGGGTATTTTCACAGGTGGTTTGTTTTCCCTGGCAGCTGAGACAGCACAGGGTGGGGGTGGGCTTAGCTGTGGCTTCAGACCTGAGCGGAAATGGACCCCCTACCACTGTGAAGCCTGCAGCAACACACCTCGCCTGCTGGCCTCAGTTTATTCATCCTCAAAACGGACGGGAAAGAGAACCTCAACCCGGCTGTACCCACCTCCTCCCGTTTTGTTTTCTGTGTGGCACCTTCTGCGATTTGAGATTACGTGTTTGTGTTTTTGTGTGCTTGTCTGTCCCCCACCCCAGCCCCTTCTCAGACGTAACCTCCAGGAGGACAGAGTCTCCCGAAGGCAGTGACCGGCACGCTGTTGTTGTTTATGCCTTTGACCTTCGACATCTTAAGTGCTGACTTAATACAGACTTAGGAAAAAAAAAAAAAACTCCCCGAGCGTCGTGGCTGTATTTATGTACAGTAGCTGAGCTAGAACCTGGGCGTTTGGAAATACCCGCGTTTTTACAGTTGAGCTTCTGTTTCCCAAAGGTGCTTACTCAGCCTTGGATGGCACAGTGCGACGTGTGACATCAGAAGTCTGACTCAGGCGTTCAGCTGGGAAAGATCTTGACTTTGAGCCCGGCTCGCCCTTTGAGGTACGGCTGGACAGAGCTCAAGAAGGTCTTGGGTTTCAATTTATCTAGGAAGGTATTTAGCAAATTATTTTTAACCATTTGGATGTGGTACAGATCACCCGAGGAATCTGCAGCCTGTGCGTAAGTGGAGGCCGAGAGCAGAGCCGAGTGGCAGAACACGGACCTGCTCCAGCCTTCCCCAGGGCCTGCGTCCTCCCGGCCTGCCCGCCCGGCCAGCCCTGGGCCCCGGCGTCTCCTGGCCGACGTCTCTTACCTAGCCCCTTGGACATCACTCTGATTCCTGGGGTTTCCTCTCCACGTGAAGTTAGGCGCTGGGCACTCGGGACCAGTGCTGGGCTTTGAGGGTCTCGTTCCATAGCTTCCCTGCAGTGTGGTGGCACTCACAACACTGAGCTGTGACACAGAGAACATGAGGAGTGCTTGGCTGTCCTCCCTCATCCTCTCAAGGGGCTTTGGGGACTTGAGGGAGGGGTTCCTGTACACCCAGGGACTGCTTGCGGAAGACTGCACAGCCTTGTGTCATGGGCAGCTCGGGAAGGCTCAGTTTTCTTCACGCTCTCGACAGATAGCATCTCTGGTTTAAAATAGGCTTGGAACCATTACCAAGTGGACGTAATAGACACTGCACGCTTGCCCTGCTGGCCCTCCAGGCCCTGTGTGCGTGGGTTGGCCACAGAAATGCTGAAGCAGTGTGCAGCTGCCCAGTCTTGTTGGGTTTCTGTGTTGTGGCTCTCCCAGCTCTGCTCGAGTTTGCTCATTAGCACAGACAATTAGCCAGGCCTGCGTAGCCAGGTCCTGACTTGTCAGCAGCAGACGGCCTGGTCCAAGCGGGCACTTGGAAGCTCCACAGAGACATCCAGAACCACCCCGCCGGTCATCTGCCTTTTCAATGTGCTGGCACTCCAGGGGCAGGGGTCTACCCTCGGCCTTCGCAGCTCGGGCCGCACTTCACACGGGGGAGCAGCCCGGTCACTGCAGGGTTGTAGAGACCGTGTGTCCGTGTGCCTTACCTCCCCAGGGAAGTGCCAGAATGAGACGGACTGCAGGACCTGGAAGAAGCCACAGCTGGGTGTGGGTGTGGCCCTGTTTCTAGGCGGTGCACGTGGTCTCACGCGAGCACGCATGTGGTGGCTTCTTGCCGACGTTGGCCATGAATTGGTCGTGCTGAATCCTGTCCCTGTCCCGATGTGGTGCGTGTCAGCATTCCCATTCTGCAGATGGAGAAGCTGAGGCCCCATGGAGTTGGTCAGTGATCAGGTGTGAAGACGTGTATGGTGGCGTTACGTGGGGAGCCGAGGGGACCTTCCCACAAGGTCACTGGGACGCAGAGTCTGGCACAGTGCTGTATTGCCCTTGTTCACTCTTTCTCCGTCACGGGGCAGGCAGTCCCGTCCTTGACCAGGATTCTTCCCCGATCAGCTGCACGACATTCGTGTCCGGCACCTTCCCCACTCAGACAGGGCTTTTCTCCGTCCCACTGCCACCACTTCCCACGCCTGGAGCAGGCCACAGCGGGTCTGACCTCAGCTGTGTCCCCTGCAGCTTGGCCTCCCTGGGGTCCACAGGTCTGAGTCTGTCCCTCAGGGACTTCCAAAGGCTCGTTGACCTCACCTGTTTCTGCGGCAGCCACAGACACCTTTTGCCGCCTGCCTCAGCTTGCGTCTCGCGCTGGTCCTCACCACACTGGCCAAGTCCTGCCTGCTGCCCGCCCCTCACACCTGCTCTCCCTGCTGGGCACTTGACCTCTCAGCCTTCAGGACTTGGTCCCTCCTGAAGCCCTGCCGCCTCCTCATCGTGAGCACCTGGAGAAGAAGTTGCCTGCTGTTGTTACATGTCCTTGCACCTGGCAGGACACCTGGACGTGTGGACAGTGCTTGAACGATCAGGGCTGCTGTGGGGAGATGAAGCAGCAGACCCGGGCGCAGCGTGCATATTCAGCAGCTGTGGGTGTGCCCCAGTGTCTTACCTAGCCCAGCTCTGTCTCTTCAGAACGGGGAATTCTGGCAGGTGCTTCGCCAGCTGCCTTCTCGGATAATGCCTTTAGGGTTAGATTCAGCAAGATGTTTGAGTGAACTCCTTGGGCTGGAAGTGGGACACCAGTCCCAACAGAGGTAAACAAACGTGGGAGTGTGTTTGCTCGAGGACCTGAACGGCTCTCGGCCGGATCGCTCGTTGGGTTGTTAGAACGCGTTAGCTGTGCTGTCTCCTTCTCCTAGCTGGCTCTTTGCTGAATTGCATCTCTCTCAAGCAGACTCTTGGCTCGGGAGAGCAGGACAGTAGCTGGTGGCCCCAGGCTCATGTCCCCAGGCTCAGCGGCTACCATGGAGAGAGCCTTGTTCCCAGTGGCACTTGTTGGCACTGCTTCACTGGTCCACTGGGGACCCAGCCGCTGTGTTGGGTTCAGGGGCCCTGCAGCGCTCACTCCCGGCCCGATCTGGAGCACGTTCCCATTTCAAGTGGGAATGGGGTGCTAGAGCCCCTTCCAAGTCATATAACCTGAGAGCGAGGGAGAGATTGTAGAAAAATTGGGGAAGTGGGGTGGTTATCACAGGCCCTGGCCAGCAGAGCGATACCCGTGCACTGGGTTGCCTCCCTCCCCTTGTTGCCGCTGCCTCTCCTGCTCCCCAGAGCTAAATGGTGTGGTGGGTCCGGGCAGGTGGCTGGGCTCTCCCTCTGCACCCCTGCCGCACTCCCGTGTTGGTGTGGGAGCCCCAGGTCCAGATGCGGCTGTTCTCACACAAGTTTTCGGCGAGGATGCATGTTTCTGATGACATCAGTGAGTACTTAAGTTCCCGGTAGTTTTCAAGCTTAAGTCCTGTCCTGAGTTCTCTGACACTGTGTAAATTTAAAGCAAATACCATTCGCAGCGACACGCCTTCCCTCAGCTTGGCCCGTGTGGTCGACCTTGGGTTCCCAAGGTTCGGCAGTCGCTTTGTGACATTCGGCCCCAGCTCCCACCTGTTGCTCTGACCGAGCCATAAAACACGGTGCCGCTGCCCCTGTTTGGGGAGCAGTCATGAACACCGTGGCACGCTTGCCCTTGTTTCTTTCCTTGCAGTCCACAGTTGGGTTTTTCATGCGGCTGTTGGCACACTTGCTTCCCAGTGTGCACTGAGTGTCTGTTTCCTGAAAAGGGCACGGAAGGGCCTTCCCTTTAAACTGGCCCATTTATTTCTCATCCCTTTGTAGCGAGGCTGTCATTGTCACCACTTGAAAGACGCGCAGATGAAGGCTAAGAGGGGAGATGAAATTTAACAAAGGTCTCAGGATAGATGGAGAACCTGGGATTTACTTCCCGGCGTGCTGGGCTAAAGCTTGAAGATTCTGAAGCGTAGGAGCTGGACTTTGTGACCTAAGTCCCGGGGATGAGACTGACACGTGTCACAAGACAAAGGTATTGCCGGTGGCTGTGGGCGATGTTATGTAGTTTATTGTGCTGTTACAGTTCAGAGAACGGTGAATTCTGCCTCCAGGTTCTACTCTGCATCCATGTGAACCTGCCTGGAAATAGGACAGTACTTCAGAAAGTTCACTGAAAAATAGAGCTAAAAAGATAACACACCGTTTCTGCATATGTGTATGTGCACACACACACACACACAAATCAGGACTTTTTTCTATATTTTATTATTTGAAAGCCAGAGCATCGGAGAAAGAGAATGAGATAGAGAGACAGATCTTCCATGCACTGGTTCAGTCCCCAAATGGTTACAACTGTCGGGGCTGGGCCCAGCTGAACCCAGGAGCCTGGAACTTAATCTGGGCTCCCACGTGGGGACCAGGGGTGCAAGCACGTGAGCCGCCATCTGCTGTCTTCCCAGGCGCGTTAGCAGGAAGCTGAACGAGAAGCAGAGCTGCTGCGACTCCAACCAGCGCTACAGTATGGGACACAGGCGGCGGCGTAACCTGCTGCGCAATGCACACCTCAGGAACTTACTCTAGAGGTCACCCTGCACGGATGCACTGTCTGCCCCTTCACTGCTTTTGGTTTTTCCTTTGAATTTAGCGTCTGTGTGACCTCAGACTTGGTTTGAACCCAAAACATGTGAGAGCCCTAGATATGTTTGCATGGTTTTGTTAGGTTTTAGGATTTTAGGATTCAAAGAAGGAGCAGAGGCAGCTAGTTAGAGAAGACTTTTAGGGGGTACAGGATGTGGGGACAAAGAGTCGGGGTTGAGCCTGCCCGACAGAGAGCAGAGGGTGTGAAACCTGGCTTCATTCTGTGTGAGCAGCTGGCGGAGTCCCTTCCTAAGCTGCTTGCTGGGGGAAGTGCAGAGCGCCCCATGGACCCTGATACAGTGCGGGGGGTGTTGCACACTCTGACAGTACACTGAGCAGTTTGGAACGTCCGCAGGTGCAGGGCTGTGTGGAAAAATCAACATCCCACTAGCCTTTAGATTAACCATCGTGCCGTTTCATCAAGCCTGGGGGCTCAGGCCCAGTGTTCTCCCAGGTTCAGCCCTCAAGTCCCTCTAAGCACAGGTCCCAGTCAGGAACTGACTGCTGTCATCTGATTTGGCAGGACAGTGGCTGGAGGAAATGTTCATCAGGACAGAGGCCACTTGGCTGAATTCAGGTCAGCAGAGGCTTCAGTGAGTGTGCAGTGGGCCTGGTGGCAGTGGTGCAGCTGGGATGTGGGTGCTGGGGGTCCAGCGGAGTGTCCAGTATCTGTGATGTGCCCTCTCTCCAGGTGTGGGGGTACAGCGGTCAGGGCAGACCAGCCAAGGTCTCTGCTTTCACGAGGCTGACACTGTCGCTGTTTTGGCTAGAGAGGACCTCAGTGAGGACTTAGAGGGGGTTGCTGGGGTAGCATGAACTGGGGTGGCAGAGGTGGACAGTTAAGGCAAACTAAAGGTCCATGAGGGTGTCCCTGAGAATGAGGCAGGTGGAATAGCCTAGGGACGGTGAGATTTCCCCAAAAGACCTCAGAGGAGAGCAGGCTCGGCCAGTTCAAGGAACAAGATAGGGTCATAGCCTGCGTGGCAGCAGCATTGCGAGGTAGGGAGAGTGGTAGGAGAGGAGGTCGGAGAGAGGCAGCAGGAGGGGCAGGCTCTCCTGAGCCATGGGCTTGCATTGCCTTCGGAGCAGGAGGAGGGTGTGCCGTGGGCAGTGGATTGGGGTGTGGACAGGTGGAACCAAGGGCATCTGGGGTGAGTGGTGAGCCAGGTCAGTTACGTTGTTACTGATCTTATCATGTGCCCGGCCGGTGATGGCACCCGTCCACCAAGGACTCACTGTACACATTTCCCTCATCATGGAACCCCTGCAGCTGGGCTTCTCGTTAGCGACCCCTCCCCAGGGTGGCAGTGCCCAGGCCCTAAGCCCTCAGCAGTGAGGAGAGGACACACAGCTGCTTGTGTGGTAGGTGGAGTAGGGGCCGGCCAGGCACGCCAAGGAGGGCTCTGGAGTTTGACAGCGACTTGGGGCGTGGAGGGGAGGATGTGTATTAGGAGCGTGCACCCACGGGCATCCTTCCTGTGTGAGTACCACTGGGGTGAAGGCTACAGAGGACTCGGGGAGCAAACCCCAGCAGGGCACAGGCGAGGAGGTCAGCTGCACCTCCCACCCAGCTCCCTGAAGGAGAGGCTTAATGCTCTTAACCTAGAACGTCAGAAAGACATCTTGTGGTCAGAATCGAATTCCTGCATTTTCTCCTAGGGTGGTTTTAAGCCAAGCTGGCCTGGGATCATCTGTCGCCATCTGTGTCCTCTAGCCCAGGTGGTCGGGTGACACTTTTTCCTAACCTGTTAGTCTGTGTCTATCTCTCTATTCATGTTCCACTCCCAGGACCTGGGTATCTGGGGTGTCTCAACAGCACCAGAGTGGTTTATTTTGTCCTGAACGTTTGCCTTGGGGCAAGGGGCAAATGTGGACGCCCCACCTGCCCCCATGCAGTTTTGTTCTCCACCCATATCCACACACACACACGAAGGATCCTCTGTTTTGCTTCAAACATTTATTTATTTATTTAAAAGAATAACAGAGAGAGAGAGAGAGAGATCTTCCATCCACTGGTTCACTCCCCAAATGGCTGCAATAACCGGGGCTGGGCAGGGCTGAAGCCAGGAGCCCGACCTCCATCTTAGTTTTCCACGTGGGTGCAGGGGCCCAAGCACTTGGGTCATCTTCTGCTGCCTTGCCAGGTGCATGTGCGAGAAGCGAGATTGGAAGCAGAGACACGGAGACTGGAACCCGCGCTCCGCTGTGGGATGGCAGCGTCACTCACGGCAGCTTAACCCCTTGCACCACTCCCATAGCTCAGCGCACAGAACTCAGACCGCAGCGCGGGGGTCAGGGCCTGCGCCTCGGCACCCTGGGGCGCCCACCTCGGTGCTCACCTCCGGGGACACTTGGTTCTTCTGCTGTCCCTCCCACTCCGTCCCTGAGGAGGCTTGCTGTGTGGCCAGTAGTTTTCTCCCAGCATTCACTGGGGCAGGAGCTGGAGGCTGCGGTGTTGAGCAGGGGCCAGGCCGCAGATCAGTTCACAGAAAATGGCTGCAGTTCCAGGAATCGCCGTCTTCGTGTGTTAGCCAAACACCCCGTCCGGCGGCGGCGGCCAGAGCCGCCCGTTATTGGAGTTTTCTGTGGCGAGTTTGTTGTTTTTCCGTTTTCCCCTTCGAGGAGAACTACTGTTTCCTGAGCTGAGATCTACCAGCCTGTCCTGGTCGGCCGTGTCTGGATCTGAGTCCCTTCCCGGGCTCCGTGCCCCAGCCTGCAGGGCGTGTTGGGGGGAGGGGGTGACTGCCGGCGCAGGTGGGAGCAATGGAGAACTGTTGGTTTGAGAAATCAAATAAAACCGGTTCCTACTTACTTGATTTTATTTTAGCCGAGTATTCTTGTCCAGAAATGAAAATCAGATGTTTGTCTCTTTTTTTTGTACATTTTTTTCCCAAAGCAAATGGTTACAAACAGTTACTTAATATAATTTACTGAAGCTTTTTCCTGAAAGAACATTTATGTTACTTTCTTTTATGCGTGCAGTAACTTTTGATCAAAACAGGACTCCGCTCCATCGTTTAATGTTGAGCGTCTGGATTAAAGGCTTCTTTTAATCTTAAATACAGATTAGGACTCTCTCTCCCTTTAAGCAAACCGCCATAAACCCTGGCGCCCTTCCAGGCCTCTCCATCGCGGCTCTCTGCTGCAGCCATTAAATGATTGTTAGGCACAATGGGCACTTGATTGTAATTATTGAACTGGCAATCAGTTATGGCAGCAGTTGGGTGGTGTAATTAAAAGGGAACGTGTTTGTACCTGCCAGCGTCTTTGAGATCCTGGGCTCTGGCTGAAGGGGGGGAGAGGCGGCACGTAAACACATGGCAGGAGGAAGCAAGCGCGTCCCTCAGGGGGAGCTTTTCGTCTCTCCCCTCCTGCCTCGTTCTTGGCCTCTTTTGTTCCATGCGGTAGATGAACGATGGTGATAATATGAGGGTAAGAATTTGGGGCTACACACCGTGGAATGAATAGATGCATTCAGCAAGGATTGTCAGGTTTCTCCATGTGCTGAGAAATGCTAAATGGACAGAAGTGTATTTATATAATTCTTAAAAAAAACACACAAGCATGAGAGTGTTTCCCCTTCTCATGTATAAAGTTCCCCGTGTATTCCCTGACGTATGAATGGGTATGAAATGCCACTGATAGAAGTAGGTGTGAGAGCTCAGCGCTCTGGTTTGTGCACAGATCAGTGAGGAAGGCAGCAGCGACCGGCGCGATGCCCCGTGAAGGTGGCCCTGCCTCTCAGCGATCTCGGCTGTGACGCGTTTTACGCAGCCTAAGCAGAGAAGCCAGAGTCTTGCTCACGGAGCGGGAATGTCAGCAGCAGTGCACATAGGACTAAAGGAGGAGCTGTGGGAACGTGGGCTTAGGGCTGGGAACTGGGATCCAGTGCCTCCCAGGCTGCCTTTGTCTGTGAGCCTGTGTCAGGTCCAGTCTGAGATGAGGCCGGCAGGCTTGTCCCTGTGTAGGAAGCATGGCCGTCAGCAGCGACGTTCTGCTGGCTGAGCAGCAGTGGGAATAGCGCCTGTCCTTGTACCTTGTGTTTATCTGTCTCCCATTGGTCCTACCTGGGTTATAAAGCCCTGGACTTAGTCCTGTTGTCACAGAAATGGCACCATGTTATTGGCCAAGCCTAGATCACATGTCAAACCTGTGGGCCGGACAAGGAAGATGGAGGTCTGGGATCATCACTCCTGTTAGAGACATGAATATGTACACATTGGTGGTACCCCAGTGACTCAGGAATAGCCGATGATAGCTTTTAAGAATGAATATGAAAACCTAAAGTACAACTTAAAAAAAAAATTCCCTGCATGTTTCCCCAAAGCAGCTCTCTGTCTTTTAGAAGTGTCCCACCTTGTACGACAAAGGCGTAAAAGTGCCCACCTGGGTTTCGGATGATGGCCTGCTCTCAGCCAGAGTCACGCTCGAGTCCCCAGCTCCCCTCCACCCTGTGGACGAAGAGCAGGCTCCTGAAGATGAGGCACGACACAGGCCTCAGACGGCTGCCACGTGGCTGTCTCGTCAGGGAGGGGCGCTGCCCCTGGGGGTGCGGGGAGCACAGCTTTCAGCCACTCTGGGCATACCGAGCCACTCAAAATCGTTCGAGTTGACAAAGTCAGTTCCTCTCTTGCTTTGGTTCCGTGTTTGAGTCTGAGTGCCAAGACCAGACAGTCTATAAGACATCAGACTTTTATCATAAAAATCCTTAGAAGGAAAGCATATTAAAAGTGTAAGAAGAAAATGCCCCTCCCCCAAACATGGTGCAGTCTCACAGAGCAGTTATGAATCAGGCCGTTTGTTGAGCAAACAAGGAAGACATTTGCAGTGTGCAAGCTCAGGCTTGAATAAAAATAATTCTCAATCCACTCTTACCCCTGTTAATGCACATGTAGTATTTGATGAGCGTGAGGAAGTCTTCATACAACTCAGGAACAATGCAAATGACGAACAAAGGACTGTGCATGGATTGCAAACTGCCCTTCACACCAAGATAAACCCACCTTTTAATTCCGCTTGTGCACAACTCTTTGAAGTGCGCCAGTTTGTGTGTCCAGCTGAACTCTTTAAGCTCTGGGTGACGTGAATGAGTAAGAGGATGCTATTACGTGAGCACAGAGCACTGCTGAAAGAGGTGCGTGGCGCTCACACACGTTCTCTCTCATTCTCTCTGTCTCGCTCGCTCGCTCTCGCTCTCTCATCTAGTTTGTGGATGTTGGCTGCAGCTCGAGGAGTTTCTTGGGAATCTGATCTTCTCAATGGCAAGCTGCAGTGCTGCTGCTGCCAGTAGTTGAGTTCATGTGGACTTGACGCCAGCTTTCTTTTCACGTATGTGAATAACAGTTTGGCACACAGCGAGCACAACAGTGACTCCACAGAGAGAGGAGACTGGGGCTTTTCAAATAGGGAAATGGGCATTTTTTTGTAAGGTGAACTGAGCTTAAATTGAATTAAATGTTGCGAGAGATTACCGTATTTGTGTGCATCTCAAGGAAGCAAAGGCCATGGCAATAAAGTATTTTCATTTTATGGAGTTTTTCTTGGAACGGCTGCACACCATATGACAGCAGAGGGCTTAAAACTCAGAGCCTGGTGCCAGCACAAAATCCAAACATCATAAAGTTCCTTCCAAAGCCCAGATGCTTATCGGTCTCCTCTCTCGATGGAGAGAGTCTGTCAACTCGCCGGAGTCCACCAGCTCAGAATCCCCTTCCCGGCCTCGGGTTCGAGTATGCAGCCTAGAGTAGGGCAGACTCTCCAAAGAGGAGAGCCAAGCTGCAGCACCACCACTGTCAGACATTGGAGTGAAAGGGAGTCCAGGGCATGGCCCCGTTGCTGTGGTGCCCGTGGTTCTGTGGTCAACCAGGTGCCCACATCTCGCCCGCTCCACGTTCCGCCAGAAGAGAACGTGCTGACGGGAAGGTGCCGTTTGCCCAGGCTTCCCAGGCTCCTGCAGTGCTCTGGGCTCCGTTAAAAATCTTCCTAATCCATAGCCTCTTGTTCCCCAACTTCTCGTAAAGGGTGTCAGGGAGCCTGGGCCCCCTCTCCGTCCTGGATGTGTGCATACGCCTTGGACAGCTGTGCTCACCAGCACTTGACTCCCAGACTGCTCAGTGAGCTTCCGGAGGCATTCCTGGGAGAGGGAGGGCCATCTCTGAGTGACAGCCCAGCACGCAGCGGGCTGGGCCTCCTCCTCCTCCCCGCTCCCAGCACCTGCTGCGGCATCTGGTAGAGTGCGAGGTGGCCGGCACACCAGTGCTCAGCGCTGGCGCCGAGAGTGTAAGCGTCCTAGGGGACCCTTCATTCTCCTGCAGTGACTGCCACTAGCGTGTAGTTCTGTGACAAACACCCCCTTCACCTGTCGTATCCATGTAGTAATTGATAGTCTTGTCTGACTATAAATTCTAGTTTTCCTCCCCACACACCTCTTTAGCGTGTGCGCTGTGCACAGTGTTGGACACAGCTGCTCCTGAGGACAGTGTGCTCTGTGGGCAGCTGACCCGCTGCTGCCCCCCAGAGCACACATGAGCAGCGGCTGGAATTGGGAGTGGAGCCAGGACTCAGACCCAGGCACTGTGCTGTGAGATGCGGTCCCCACCGGATCTCAGCCCCCATGCCAAATGCCCACCGCTGCACTGTGCTTCACTGATGGCTAATTGTGCGCTTGCTGTAGCTCACAAGTTCTGCCTGTGTTCCCTGGCGGAGTGTGAGTGTACGTGACCTACCGCCAGGACCTGGGCTCGTCCTTTCTTAGAGTCCATCTAGCAGACGTTGAGGTCGTCATTCTAGCGATTTCTCCGATTATCAGGAGTAGCAGAAGATCCTGTTCCAGTTAGAAAGGGTTGTCCTTTGCAACAGACGTGACCACAGAATCTTCACTCCTGAACTGTGTTCCCCTCCCCTGAGTAGGGCCCCAGCCCTCACACCAGTGCCCTGGTGCCAACAATGACGTGTGCTCTGTTGAGCTTGGGGCGCGGGGCTCCAGCTCCTATCTTGAGGTGTGCGAGCAGGCCCCAGGCTCCACTCCATGCCCTGCCCATGCTGGGGTGCGACCGTGGGCCAGTCTTCATGTTGTGGGCTGTGGTGGCCCTGTCGAAAGAGTGGAGTGCCATCTGCCCTGGGCCTCAGTGACAGAGGAGAGGAGTGCAAATGACCACCTGAAACGGCCTCTTCTGGGCTGGGGGCTGAGGGCCGGGAGCCCCCCTGCTGATGCACAGGCCCCCCTTCCCGTCTCCCCGCCCTATGCTCTGTGACTGCTGTGGACTGGCAAGCTCACGAGAGGCGTCCATTGATGCTGTGTGCAAGGAGGAAGGGCCCGCCTCGGAGCCCTTGGCCTGATGCCCGCAGCAGCTGTGGGAACACAGTGGTGCTCATTGTGGCACGCGGCTCGGGGTCTCCCAGCTCAGATGCTCCGCCGCCTCCAGCTCAGAGTCTCTTCCTCCGGGTTTCTTTGACCTCTGGCCCCTCAGTCTAAAGCCCCTTTTCCCCAGCAGAACGGGAGAGGAGCCCACCCAGGCCCGAGGCCCCGCCGGCCTTCCCCGGCACCTGATGGTGGTTGCGTCCAGGGCCCTCACCCTTCCTTCCCAGTCGCTCCGCCCTGGCCCTCCTGGCTCTCGGCCTGAGTCTGGCCTGGCACAGGGCCTCACCAGGAGCCGGGACCCAGCTTACTGGGAGACTAGAGGATCTTGACTGTGGCAGAACTTGGCAGCCTCCCCTACTGACCAGCATCGTCTTCGGCCTGAGACCCAGCAGGAACAAAGCTGAGCACGCTTTCCCGGGCTTCACTGAGAGTCGCAGGGGAAGCCAGCGCCAGGCTTCCCTCTCTAGCATTTTCCTTGTTATTTGTGGACCTTTTTGTTGAATGCTGCATTGTTGATGTACAGTTAAGCACAAAAACCTTGTCTGTGCACCGAGCAAGATCTACAGCATTTCCCAAGGCCCTGCACCTCCCTGACTCCTCCCCGGCATTGCCACCGGAGAGCACTCCGCTTGTGACCTCTGTCCCCTCCATCACTTTGCATTCCAAGCCTCTTCTCCCCATACCCAGCCCTCGGCCCCACCTCTCCTGTGTTTGGAACGCGAAGTTCATTCTGGCCCCAGCCCATCGTGACAAAAAGAAAGCATGTGATGGAGTGGTGCCTGCCGGCTCCTGTCTCCCTGCCAGAGCTCTCCTCTGCCCTCTGCCTCATCTCCACCCACCAAACCAGATTGTGCGGGGCAAGGTCAGCCATGCTGCACCCCAGAACCCGGAGGCAAAGAGAAGCGGGCGCCAGGGGACCCCCGTCCCATCTTCCAGGTGCCCAGGCCTCGCAGTGTGGGGTCTTCTGGGCTGAGCCAGGCTGGTCCCTGGATCCTCAGACATCGCCCTGAGCAAGCACCCAGCGTGAAGGGATCTTGCTTTCCTTTTCCTGTCGCCGTCCTCAGATTTTCTCTGCCCTGAGTGCCTTTGGATTTCCTCGGGCGGGGTTAGGCCCCCTCCCACCGTGCCCCTGCGTGTGAGCTGAGTGGGCAGCAGCGAGCATGGCGAGGAGAAGGTCGTTGTCCCGGGGCGCACAGAAGCCCCTGCTCTGGCCAGGCTGCCATGTGCAAATCCTTGTATTTAGAAGTGGAGCTTAATCTGTTTATCCAGCAGCAAAGATATCTGCAAGAAGCTGTTACTGTGTGGACACTGGAGCCAGACGGGAAATCGGAGGACTTGCAGATGTCATCTGCTCTCACGCAGCCGATCAGGACGGACCCTGCACTGGGGTTCACGCCGCGTTCCTGGGCTCCGGGGGGCAGAGAGGAGGGTGCTGAGAGGGCACGTGAGCCAGCAAGAAGGAATTGGGACAGAGTCGGTCATTACCACAAGTGTGTGATTACAGCGTTCTCTGACGGTAGGTGGATGCGCTGTAACTGAGCCGCTGTGAGGAAGTGTTGGTTCCATGCACAGAGCCCGTCGGACCAGCCGCAGGCAGAGGTGATGAGCCGGTGGGAGGGCTTCCGGAACACCCCTGATTTGGATTGGGACAATAGGGGCACGTCCAGCAAATTCACGAATGGCGCTAAGCTGGGACAAATTAAACGAGGATGTAAGGAGATGAGGACAGACAGAAGGCGCAGCGCAGTAGGCGCAAGTGCTCGGATCTTGGAGCTTCCTGTGAGGCCAGGACGCGGAAGCAGCCCTAGAGGAAGAGGCTGTCCACTGCGGCAAGCACGGCCCGAGTGAGGCCGTGGCCTGGAGGGGCATCGCGGACGGCTGCTGCACTGTTGAGTTGCGTTTCCAGAAGCTTCCCGAGCCCAGGCCCCGTGTCGTCTCCACCTTAGCGTTCCTTGCCTGTGAACACTGAGCAGCTCCAAGGACCGAGGAGGGGAACCGTGTGCAGAGGAACGTCTCAAGAATATGAGCAGTCAGGCGGAAGCAGAGGCGACCAAAGTGAAGCTTGAATTCCATCCTCAGATGGGGGCGGGCGGGGGCTGTCCCACGTGAGAGCGAGGGTGAGGACGAAGTTGCAGGGAACAGCCGGCCTTCGGTCCTGTTGGGCCAGGTCCTCGCCTGGCGCTGGGAGCCCTTGAGGCCCTGTGGAGGACACACTCAGGGAGACTGTGTCGCCCGCAGGGTGGGCGTCTTTGTCTGAGATACTGGGGGCGAGAAGCGTCTCAGATGTCTGAGCTTTTCAGGTTTTGGAACGTCTGCATGGATTTTACCATTTGATCATCCCCAGTGAATAAAATCAAATAATATAATCGGGTTACAATTTGAGTATCATTGCTCGAAGTTACAGTTCTTGCAGTGTTTTAGACTTTGGGTTTTGGGGTTAGGGTGCCCAGCCTGTGCTGGGCCCAGGGACTCGCCAGCCACCTGTCAGAAGCGGTAAGCAGAGAGTCAAGGGCACCAGAGCCTTGTGAAGCCGCATTAGCCTTGTTGGTCTGTCCATGATCGAGCCCACAGTCGGGCCCCAGGGGAACGAGGCAGGGCTTGCCATGTGGGCAGAATTAGGAGTACCAGATAAAGCTGCAGGCTGTATGACAGGGTGGAGCTCGGGAAATGAGAGAAGTTGTGATAGGGTGGGCAGCAGCGTGGGAACCCCAGAGCAGGGAGTGGAGATGCAGCTTCCTGCACACAGGGATTTTCGGTGGGGGCAGGGTAACGTGCTTCATCCTAGGGGGACGAGGGGCCCTGAAGTCCTGGGACACCCTCACTCTGCAGGTGTCTCCTGCAAGGACACCAGACGCCAGCACAGCCGAGTGCCGCCAGCACCCCTCTCTCCTGCTGCAGAAGGGCCACGGGCAGTTTCCCAGAGTGTGTGAGAAAGGGACCTAGCTAGGAGGTGAAGACGTGGGCTTCCTATCCACCTGTGCTTTTTGAGGTTGCGTGTCTCTGCTCTCGCGGCCTCTCAGGCTTGAAGTCGCCACAGCTGCCAGGGATCCCGAGCTTCCATTTTGCCGTGTTCCGTGCCGCAGTTCGGGGTACTCTGGCATAGCTCCCCCCTCAGCACGTCCACCCAGGTTTCTTCAGCTTCCTGCCTGATTTGTCCTTTGTTTTCTTAGGCAATGGAAAGAGGCAAAGGTGGGCATTGACAAGGTTCACTCACCCCTCCTCGCCAGTGCCAGCCTCTGCACTTGCCTGGAGCCCCCGCAGCGGGGAGGCTCCTGCAGGGGTGGGGAAGCGTGGCAGTGAGGGCAGGCCCCTACCGTGCCCAGAGCAGTCTGGTTCACGGGAGAAAAGGGCCCTGGAAAGAGGACGTTATCCCTCCTTAAGAAAACATGCGCAGAGAGTGGGTTTGTCGTTGCCAAGGCCAAGTTAAACAGGATGCAGGTTCTCTGCAGGCGTTCCCAGGCCCCGGAGCCTCTCCGCCTGCCTGCCCGCCCATGCTGTGGGTCGCTTCCTAATCCGTGACCGGTGCGCTGACCTGTAGGGAGGTGGGGTTCATGCTTGTGCAGCTTGCTGAGGGAAGTGACCCCGCAGGCTGCCCCGCCCTTCCCATCACCACCAGAACAAACACATCCCATCCCCACCTTGTTCATCACGGTCCTCCCTGGAGCCAACGCTTTAGGGCGAGGGGCCTCGGAAGAGGCCACACTGGCCAGGGCCATTTACGAAGTGCAGACTCCTCCCCAGACCCTGAGGTTTCATAATCTCACCACTCCGGGCGTGGGGGTCCCCAGTACCATCTCGGTTGGTCTCAGACTTGGCTTGAGTGAACTCATTCACTTGTGCCCGGATGTTTTATGGGCTGGTTCTGCATGATGTGTTCTGCCTTCTGAGGCTGGGAAGCAGAAATAAAGCTGTTAATACTTGCGTTCGAAAAATAATAGATGAAAGTTCACAGTACTTTCCTGCTGTCATTTTTGTTTTGTTTGAAATCTGTATTTATTTTCATTTCATTTGAAAGAAAGAGAAAGATCTTCAACCTGATGGTTCACTCTCCAGATTCCCACAACAGCCAGGACTGAGCCAGGCCAAAGCCAGGAGCCCAGGACTCAGTCTGGGTCTCCCCTGTGGGTGGCAGGGAGGGACCCAGGTAGTTGAGCCATTATCTGCTGTCCCCAGGGTGTACATTAGCAGAGCTGAATCAGGAGTGGAGTGACTGAGACAGGAAGCAGGCCTTCCAACGTGGGATGCAGGTGTCTTAGGCAGCGACTGAACCACTGCACCGCACACCTGCGCCCCGATACAATTTTTTGATGAAGATTATATGGGGGTGGCTGTGCGTGGTGTGGTGGGTGGGGCTGCCGCCTGAGGCGCTAGCTTCCCACGTGGGCACCAGTTCAAGTCCTTGCTGCTCTGCTTCTGATCTTGCTCCCTGCTATGGCCTGGGAAAGCAGTGGAAGATGGCCCAAGTGCTTGGACTCCTGCACCCACGTGGGAGACTCGGGAGAAGCTCCTGGCTTCATATCAGCCTGGCTCTGCCTGTTGTACCCACTTGGGGAGTAAAAGAGCAGGTGGAAGAACTCTCTCTGTCTTTTCTTCTCTCTCTCTCTCACTCTTCCTTTCAAATAATAAATCTTTGTAAAAAAAGAAAAAATTTTATGGGGTGTTCATAATTATTTCAAGTTCTAAGTAAGAGACTACTTCAAAAAAAATTCATGGAAAATGAGTTTAAAAATAACTTTTTTTTTGACAAGCAGAGTTAGAGACAGACAGAGAGAAAGGTCTTCCTTCTGTTGGTTCACCCCGCCCCCCAAATGGCCGCTATGGCTGGCGCGCTGCGCCAATCCAAAGCCAGGAGCCAGGCGCTTCCTCCTGGTCTCCCATGCAGGTGCAGGGCCCAAGGACCTGGGCCATCCTCCACTGCCCTCCCAGGCCACAGCAGAGAGCTGGACTGGAAGAGGAGCAAACAGGACAGAATCCAGCACCCCGACCGGGACTAGAACCCGGGGTGCCAGTACTGCAGGTGGAGGATTAACCTAGTGAGTCGGGGTGCTGGCCTAAAAATAACTATTTTGATACAAAGCAAATTCGGTATGCATGCGGTTTTGCCTGGAGGACACACTTTCCCTGGATTTCCTGAGGACCCTCCTGTGCGCACGCTTCACACGTATTTAGCTTCACACGTATTTAGCTTCACACGTATTTAGCACCATAATTAATTTGTCTTTGAACTCCACTTCCCTGAACCTGGTAACCCAGGCTCACACGTTGTTCCGTCCCCTGGTTTCCCCTGATTTCCATGGTCTCTGCCCCGCCGTGCCGGGACCTGCTGCGGTCTTCAGGTCACACCGTGCTTGTTCAGTGCGTTGAGATACACGGCAGAGCCGGCGTCAGGGGCAGCTGTGGTGCACGGGGCTGGGCTTGTTCCCCGGGAGGCCGTGCCGTGCTTCCTCCTGTCGTGTGTGATCCCTGCTCTGCCAGTGGCCACAGAGATCCGGAGCCCAGAGGGGCCATGCAAGCACGTGGGCACTTCGCGGGCTGAAGGAAAACATAGGCATGAAATACTCAGACTTGCTTGTGTGTATCGGAACGCGGAAGGAGCTGACCTGACTCGGACAGGCACAGACGTGACACTTTCCTCGCACCGCAAGTCGTGGGGCCTCACTTCAGGGGAGCAGGTGAGGCCGGCGTGCGCTGGCGAGGTCTGACTGGGACTCAGCTCCAGGTCTCCTGCCTCTGTTCAGCGCCTTCCCTCCTGATCCGCGATGCCCCCTGCGCAGGGTGCTTACTGAAGCCGGGGCTGTGGCCTCCGTTAGAGGGAATTCTGGAGCAGCGAGCCCCCCGGCACTCAGGGTGCAGTCCCCCCACAGGGGTTGTATGGCAGCTCTGCGGGGGGTTTACAGGTGGTGCTGCAGGCGACAGGGGGCCCAGCCCCTACCCTGAATTTATCCAGGCTTTCACTCTGCGCGTATATTGCATTTTTGGGTGATAAAACCTCTTTCGTGGGCCTAGCTGGCTGCTGCCTGTGCCTTCTCGCCCCTGCCGTCCATCCATAGCTCCCGCTGGGATTAGTCTTCCTGAGACACAGGCATTCACTGTATTGCCGCTGTGACCAGACGCCTCCCTGCTGTCCCCAGATCAAAGCTGCAGACTCTCAGCCTGTCCTCCAGGAGCCTGGGGCCGGAGCCCAGGGCCGGCACCCTCCTTGTGTCCAGAACAGACCACTTGTGGTCCCCAGTCCTCATCACTCTCAGAAAAGCTATATCTCTTCTCTGTGGCTGGGCCCTGCCCACTGTGCAGGGGCCAGGCCTGGCCCACTCTTCTAACTCTGTCCTGGATGTCCTCCAGGCCCTGTGGGCTTGCTCCTCTCTCTACTCCCGAGGTGGCTGACAGCCCCGGAGAGCGAGCCCCTGGCCGCCCCCCTCCTCCCTGCACTGCTGCTGTGAATTCTGCTCCCTGAAGCTCGGCCAGGCTCCCCTGCAGTCTGAGAGCCACTCCACAGAGCCCTGGGACGGGATGCACTGCGGTCCCTCCTCTTAAGTAATTCAGACCCAGCAGTTCACTGCGTGGTTGTGTCCCAACAGTTCAGTAGCCACTTGAAAAAATACTGCACAGAAATACCCAGTTATTTGCTGATAGCCTGTGTGCTCCTGTTGGGCACCGCACAGCTTCCAGCAGTGTCGGGGCACTCTGGAGCACCCCGGGTGTGTCCCACTTGCCTCCCAGTGAGGCTGTCCCCACGGAGGAAGCCAGTGGGTGCTCAGGAGCATCTTACAGACCACCCAGGGCACAGACCACTCAGCTCAGCAACGGGCTGGGTACTGTGGGTGACAGCGGTTCAGATGGACTCCGTGGGCACCTCTGGGGCAGCTGGCAACGACTTTCTGTACCAAGAGGAGGTTGGCTGGGGGGCCTTCCAGGGCAGAGAGTCCTTGTTTTTTTTGATTATTATTATTGTTTTTTTTTTAAATGATTATTTGACAGGCAGAGTTACATAGAGGGGGAGAGGCAGAGGCAGTAAGAGAGAGAGAGATCTTCCATCTGCTGGTTCACCCTCCAGATGGTTGTATCAGCTGGAGCTGGGCCAGGCCCGAGCTAGGAGGTTCATCCAGGTCTCCCACGTGGGTGCAAGGGCTCAAGGATTTGTGCCATCTTCACTGATTTCCCAGGCACCTTAGCAGAGAGCTGGATGGAAAATGGAGCAGCCAGGACTTGAACCAGCGCCCACGTGGGATGCTGGCTCTGCAGGCGGCGGTTCCGCCCGCTGTGCCACGGCGCCAGCCCCAGTGCAGAGATTGCTTAGCGGCAGTGACGCTGACCCTGAGAGCGGCGTGAGCACAGTTGTGTGACCGAGATGATGGCGCCATGTCTCCAGCCCCCACGTTTGAAGTCCAGCGTGTCGACGCTGCCGCTAAGGAGTGGAGACGGAAGACCTGTGCTTTCCTGGTACGGTAACTCACTGCCTACCTCCTTCCAGCACTGGCTGTATAGGAGGGCCACCGAGCAAAGAAGTAGGAATACCCCCGAAAACCTAGCTGTTCACTGTGCCATACAACTGGAAAATACAAAAATAAAAACTGGAAAATAAATCCCTAACATGGGCGAGTTTAAGAACTCCTCTTGGATCCATGAGGAAACCGAAACCACAATTGTAGGCTGCGTGAACAGTGTGGAAATTCCGCACGGGAGTTTTTCTGAGTACGGCTAATACAACTCAGGAAAACTCGCCAGCCTTGGTTCCTATATGAATGCCAGAAATGAACAGGCATAAAGTGAATAATGCAATAAACCTAAGAAGTTATAGAGAGGCCAGCGTTGTGGAGTAGTGGGTAGAACCGCATGCGTCCCAGTTCAAGTCCCAGCTGCTGCACTTCTGATCCAGCTCCCCGCTAGTGTACATTGGAAAGTAGCAGAAGGTGGCCCGAGTGCGTGGGCCCCTGCACCCACCGGGGAGACCTGATAGAAGCTCCTGGCTCCCAGCTTCTGACTGGCGCAGCCCTGGCAGCTGTGGCCATCTGGGGAGTGAACCAGCAGATGGAACATCTCTCTTTCTCTTTTTCTCTCTCTCTCTGCAACTCTGCCTTTCAAATAAATAAATCTTTATAATAAAAAAATTACAGAAAAAGAACAAGGAAACTGGCTCAGGGATGCCAAAAGCACCTTGTGGGAAAGGTGCCTGACAGGTAATAACCATCAGAGACCGTACCTGTTAGGCGTGTTAGTTGTCAGACAGATGGAGGAGTTCCTGTTGAAGCAGCCACAGACAGCGTCCACGATACAGGGCTGTGTTTGAGGCACTGGGGGCAGCATGAGTGTGGCCGTCGGAGGTGATGTGATCGGATTGAAGGCCACGTTCTCGGGTGTGCTGCTGTTACGGTTGTGTACACGTGATGTCTCTGAAGGGATGCCTGGAAACTGAAACAGCAGGCGCTACTGGGAGGGGAACTGGTTAGCTGCGGTTCAGGCCCAGGAAGACGTAGCCGTTGGGTCTTGTACCGTGTGCTTACTCTTCATCCAAAGATGCTGCATAGTGTCTTCTACCCCTGAGCCCTGTGTCCTGTGCTCGGGTCCGCCATTGTGCCCTCGTTCATGAGATGAGAGCGTCCGGGGGTTGGGGGGTCCCAGGCATAGCCTCCTGTCCGGCCGCTTTCTCGGTGGCTCCCTTTCTGACTGCCCAGCAAGGCTGTCGTCCTCTGGAGTGAGCCGCCCGTCACCCTTCCTGCCCCAGCGGCCCAGGGACCAGAGCCATTCTCTGGCCTTGGCTGTCTGGAGCTTTCCTGAGGGCGACTTGACAGCTCACGGAAGGGAGCGGGCACAGGGGTGGGCCTCGGCAGAACCAGTTTCTGCTGTGACCCAGGCCCGTGGGAGAGCGCCTGTGGTGCTCAGAGTACACAGCTTGTTGAGGCTGGCACCGGGCAGAGTCCTGGTGTTGGGGTTGGAACTCAAGGAAAGAGGCCAGGCGGCTTCCAAGGTGAGTGCCAGACTCATCAGTCTCCGGATGTGGCTCGTGGGCCGAAGGGTCCAGAGCCGGGAGGGTCTTCATCCAGGCCGCTCATTTGGTGGATGCAGACGCTGCAGCCTGGTATCCGCACAGGCAGTAGGGAGCCCTGCATCCCCTGAGTCACGTGGCTTGTGCAGGCACTGGGCCCCTCCACGTGGCAGCTGGCGGTGGAGCACACTCGAGCCTCACTTGCCCTCAGAACAGCCGCCGCAGGGCAGGTCGGTGCTCGCAGGAGGGGCGTGAGAAAGGAGGGAAGAGTCACTGAACACCATCACTGGGTTTTGCCCGTGCAAAGCCTGGCGGGAACCAGGCACCTCCCCCGAGAAGGAGCCGGCAAGTTCGGAGGCTTTCACCCTCGGCCCTCGCAGCACTGGGGCCGTGGCCCGCAGGTTGGCCTCGGCTGCCGAGTTTACGATGAGTGTGATGAAACCCTGTGGGCCAGCACGCAGCCGAGTGACCCGAGATCCGGAGCTGGAGGCCCATGAAACTGCTCTCCCTGCGGAGTAGCGGTCACGAGCCGGCCTCCCCTTCACCTGGACTGGGGAGGCCTGGGCACCATTGCTGCTCCCGTGTCCCTTGTTTGGCTGTTTTGACACTTTACACGTTGGTGTCAGGTTACACAGACCCTTGCACAACTTGCTTTGCACTCGTGTCTTTGAGATTTCTCCATGTTGCTGGGTGTGGCCGTAGTGCAGCCATTTCTACCGCAGCCTGCCCGTGGGACAGTCCATCCGTTCTCTGTCAGAGACAGGCCGTTAGAAGCAGTGCTCCGCGCTCCGCGACTGTGCTGGGCCTCGTACCCGCTGTACCCGGAGGGTCTGCACTGAACGATGTGTCGGATCACTGTTAGCTTCCCGGATTCGTGACGCACAGAAGTGGGCGTTTATCTGAGAGCCAGCACACGGGTTCACTGTGGAGTCTGTAATCTGGGAGTGGTATGCTAAAGCCGCCTGCAGGTCCTCCTGCTGCGTTCTCCCCAGCGCAGCCCAGCCCAGCCCAGCCCCGCCAACGCACACACCCACTCGGGACCTTGCCTTAGACCTGGAGGCGTCAGTGGACGTGTCTTGGGAGAGGGGAGAACGCCGTTTTTCTCTCTTGTAACCAGCGCCCTTGCGATTTGCTACTCAGCTGTGTCTTTGGCAGGCCGCACTCTGCCCACAGCTCACCAGCTGGCCCTGAGAGTGACCGGTTCCCGGGAGAGGGCTGCTGGGTGTGGCAGGAGCTACGGTGTGGCCTCCCGCCGTGCCTTTGACCCCTGGCCTGTGAGAGGCCTCACAAGTCCCCAGAAAGAGCGCGTTATGCGGAAGCTCTGCATGGATCTCAAAACATTTTTCAGAAAATAAACATCTTTTTTAAAGATTTATTTATTTATTTATTTAATTTTTATTTGAAAGCAGAGTCACAGAGAGGAAGAGAGTTACAGAGAGAGGCAGAGAGAGAGAAGTCTTCCCTTTGCTGGTTCACTCCCCAAATGGCCTCAACACCCAGAGCTGTGCCAGTCTGAAGCCAGGAGCTTCTTCTGGGACTCCGATGCGGTGCAGGGGCCTCAGGCCTTGGGCCATCGTCTACTGCTTTCCCAGGCCATGGCAGAGTATTGGATTGAAAGTGGAGCAGGCAGGACTAGAACCGGTGCCCAGATGGGATGCCGGCCCTGCAGGTGGCGGCTTCACCCACTGTGCCACAGCGCTAGCCCCATAGATGTATCTTTTAATCCCGTTTCTCCATGCACTTTCTGAGCCACACTCTGTCTCATCTCTTTTGGGCACTGTTTTGTGAATGGTGTGAAGAGGAGGTAAAAATAGCTCTCTTCATGACTGTTTTATGGAAAATCCGAAGAAATCCATAAAAAAAGTATTAGAATTACTAAATGGGTTCAGCAAGGTTGTAGGGTACAGGATCATTGTGCAAAAATCAATTGTGTCTCCAAATACTTGAAATGAACAAATGCTGAAATTAAAAAAGGAGTTCTGTATACGATAGCATCAAAAAGACTAAAGTATTTAAGGTTAGATTTAACCAAAGTATTATACTTGCATACGGAAAACTACAAACCACTGACTGAAAGTGGCAGACATCTCATGACCACCTTGAATTGGGAGGATTAATATTAGTGAGTTGGTAGACTACCCCAAAGTGTTTGACAGATTCGGTACATTCCCGGTGCAAATCCCAGCTACCCCTTTTGGAGGAGTTGGCACGCGTTTTGAACGTCTCTTGGAAATTCAGGGACTCAGGTTAGCGGAAACCATCCTGAGTGGGGCAGGACAGAATGCTGGTCTCGCGCTTGCTGGGCTCGGTGGTTGACCCAGGGTGGCACCATGCACACCCCTCGTCTGTGTAAGGATGGAAATATAGGCCAACTGGTGAGAATTGAGAGGCCAGAAGTAAACCCGTAAACCTAGAGCCAATCAATCTTTGACAGAGATTGACAAGATAATTCAGTGGACAGACCATATAATGCCTATATAATAAAAGCAGAAATTAGCAATATTCAGGATTTTGTTTTTAAGCTATTAAGTGACACTCGTTACTATGTATGAATTAATAGATGAATAATTAAATGAGCACATACATGACTGAAGACAAGTTGAATCATATATGACCTAATTTTGAGAATGTGTAATATAGTCATACTACTAACACATTTCTGAAACAGTTCCAACATAAATTGATTAAATGTGTGATACCTATTTGGGTGGGGAGCATAATGAGACAAGTACCTAGAAATCCATGTTTTTGTCCTGCACTGTTGAAATGGTGCTGGTTACTTGTCAGCAATACAAATATTATCTACTTGTTTAAAAAAAAAATGTTCCTTTCAACAAATGGTGCTGAGAAATTTGGCTATCCACCGGCAAAAAGTATCGAATTGGATCCTCAATTCATTCCATTTATAAAAATTAATTTAAAATGGAAGCCGGCGCCGTGGCTCAATAGGCTAATCCTCCACCTTGCGGCGCCGGCACACCGGGTTCTAGTCCCGGTTGGGGCGCCGGATTCTGTCCCGGTTGCCCCTCTTCCAGGCCAGCTCTCTGCTATGGCCAGGGAGTGCAGTGGAGGATGGCCCAGGTGCTTGGGCCCTGCACCCCATGGGAGACCAGGAAAAGCACCTGGCTCCTGGCTCCTGCCAGGATCAGCGCGGTGCGCCGGCTGCAGCGGCGGCCATTGGAGGGTGAACCAACGGCAAAAGGAGGATTAGCCTGGTGAGCCGCGGCACCGGCCTACACATTCTTGATTTTGGTGATTTCAGTAAAATAAAATAATCATATGGAAATATA